TAAATAAAGGTTAGTCTGTTGCAAACCACCAAGCGAGTTTTATTATTTTATTAAAATTAAAGATTGTAATAATTTTGCAATTACAAATGACTTACATTTCAGTTCTCTTTCTGAAACAGAAACCTATAAATACTTGGGCATGGCAGAAGCGCTAGGAATTAATGACAAAAATATTAAAGAAAATTCAAAAGTAAAATTTATGTCAAGATTAAAAAAAAGTTATCAAAAGTCATTTATCCGGCGGAAACAAAATTAGATCATATAATTCCTGGGTAATACCTAGCCTTCTATATACTTTTGGCGTTACAAGATGGTCTCAAACGGAATTGGATGACTTAGATAGACGAGTCCGTACATTAATGACTACGCACAGAATGCACCACCCACGATCATCTGTCATGAAGTTGTATCTTCCAAGAAAAGATGGTGGACGGGGCTTATTAAACATTAAAAACCTACACAACCGTGAAGTATACAACCTCAGAGACTATTTTATTAAAAAAAAAGACACATCACACATTCATAATGACGTAGTGATTAATGACAAATCATTAACCCCGCTTAATATGTCGGCAAAGGACTGGCAGAGGCCTCATACTATGACTATAGATGAACGCAAAAAGGTTTGGAATGACAAACAACTGCATGGTCGATTTTTTAAAGCATTGACTAATCCTTATGTAGACATGGTTGCATCAGTACATTGGTTACAATTTGGTGACCTTTTTGCAGAAACTGAAGATTTTATCTGTGCAATACAAGATGAAGTAATTAAAACGAACAACTACCGAAAATATATTTTGAGGGACGGCACAGTTGACGTATGTCGCGCATGTCACCACCCTTGAGAGTCTCTCAGACATGTTATTTCCGGTTGTTCACAACTATCAAATGGTGAGTATTTGCACAGACATAACCAAGTAGCTAGAATAATACACCAACAGCTTGCCATTAAATTTGGCTTTAATCAACAGGATGTTCCATATTATAAGTATGAACCAAAGCCAGTCCTTGAAAATAGAAGTGTCACGCTGTACTGGGATCGGTCAATTATCACAGACAGGTTTATAGTGGCAAATAAACCTGACATTGTGGTGATAGACCGAACTACACGCAAGGCAATAATAGTGGATATCAGTGTTCCTCATGACGAGAATCTCGTAAAAGCAGAGAATGATAAAAAAATAAAATATATCGACTTGGCTCATGAGATTGTCGCTATGTGGGACGTTGATTCTACTATTATTGTACCAATAGTTGTATCAGTCAATGGACTTATTGGTAAAAATATGGACGATTATCTGTCCAAGTTAGGTTTGGGCAAATGGCTGAAAGCATTAATTCAAAAATCGGCCTTATTAAATACGGCTCGAATAGTAAGAAGGTTCCTATCTTTGGATGCCTAACTTCACCGATGGCTTAGAATTCCTCGCCGCGGTGGATAATAGCCGAAATAATAATATTATTTATATAGATTGTATTTATATTTATAATATTATAGTTTTGTGATAATATAAGTGATCACATAATAATAATAATAATAATAATCCTTTATTGCAGACACAAAGATCCATATTTAAAAGAAAATATTATATATATATATATATATATATATATATATATATATATATATATATATATATATATATATATATATATATATATATATATAGTATAGCAAGAATAGATGTTGCAATATTTGCAAAAGTCTATCATCACCCAGCAACTTTCACCCAACATCTGTACATTGCAGTCTGTATCTGCCTATCTGCCAAACTACGCACAATAGAGTTGTTACACAAGTCAACTCTGGACATAAATGATGCTATCCTCTTTCGATGGATAGCATTAAAAGAGTCAACCCGGGTTTTCACGTACATTTCAGAGGCGCTACAATAGCGATTAAATCTCATTAGAAGTCTAAAAATATTATTATAAGTCGCCCGTATCATGTGTTTTCTTGGTATAGTCTACCCAGAGTTGACACGTGTAAAATGATTGGCAGAAAGATCTAAACAGTGTAATTTTCACGTCCGGCGACGCCTTGCAGAATTTTCGCGCAATCATATTGCCTACTACACACAGAGATCTACGTTGACGTTCCACATCCGTGTCATCTTTTAAGTCTGAAGTAACAATATGGCCAAGATACTTGAACTTGTCTACTATCTTAATAAATTTTCCATTAAGACGAAACTCGGGCACGCTCTGAGGTAAATTCCCTGATCTGAAAATCATTATTTCTGTCTTTTTTGGAGTTGTAAGTCAAATTATGTTCTTCCGCATATCTTTCACAGATTTCAATTAATTTTTTCAAGCCCTTAATCGAGGGACTGAGCAGCACCATATCGTCAGCATAGCTCAGGATGTTAACATATCTGTCGTCCAGTCTGAGCCTTACCGGGGATCTGCTCAGCTCCACGATTAAATCATACATATAAGTATTGAAAAGATCAGGTGAGGTAACACCCCCCTGTCTCACGCCACAAGAAAGATTATAGCAATACGATATTTCACCACCCCACCTAACGTTGTTGGTCTGATTATCGTACCAGAACGCTAAGAGATCATCAACCTCAGCCGGGACACCTTTGCTAGTGTCACGGAGCTTTTTCCACAGTATTTCATGACTGATTGTATCAAAAGTACGACTTAAATCAAGAAAACAAGCGTATACAGTAGTATTCCGCTGTTTATAATAACTTATAACTTGCTTTAGAGAAAATATAGCCATATCTGTTGATACATTCGGACGAAAACCAAACTGCCCATCATCGTAATTTATGGAATTTAAGTATAACTGTAATACTCGTTCAAATACCTTGGCCACTATAGTGGCCAAAGAAATAGGCCTATAGTTTACCGAGCTCGAGATATCCCCGGTTTTATTTTTCATAATAGGAACAACCATCGTACGAATAAGTTCCTCAGGTAAATAACAATGTCTGACACAGAGATTGAAAAAATGCGCTAACACCTCACAGATATGCTGGCCCGCATATAACAGATGCTCTATGCTAAGACCGTCATGACCCGGAGACTTACCCCGCTTCATGTTAGTCAAAAGTGACTCTAACTCTTTCGGCGTAATTGTTACATGGTGAGTTTTAGATCCCTGACATGTCCTAGCCTTATAATTATAACTATATTTATTTTGTACAAGATTAAACTGATTTCTAAATAAATTTGCTATATTTTTTTACTTTTTTCTCCATCTACACTTAACGGCAAATATTTTTTATGTACTAACTTTTTTATTTCTCTCCAAATTCATTAAAGTTACCAGCATTTCGATGTCGGGCCAACACTTCCATTTTTATTTTGTCCTGATTATTTTGAACGTACTTAAGCGCGGCCTTAAACTCTCTACGCGAGGCAGCCATATTTTCGTAAAAATAGCCCGAAGATGGCCTACCATATTCATTTCACATTAAAAAACTTTCTCTGGCCTTAACATGGGTATGCATGACGTGAAAATTCCACCACACAATCCTTTGCCCTTTTCTTATATCATTCATATAAAAGCTAGGCTCAGCTGCTACTTGCAACACACTTACAATGTCACAATATAAATCGTCAATATATTTACAATGACACGATTTTTCACACGAATGTTTTGCATACATACATTCCATGTTTACATTTTTATAATTACTCATTATATCATAAAGTTTTTCATCACAGATTTTTGAATACATTTTTCTTTGTTCAAGCTCCCTATTTAAGCCCCCATAAAACCCTTGCATTATTTTTTAGGTTCGTCTCATAGTGAATTTCTTTAACTGTAATAAAACTAAGGTTACAATTAATAACTAGAGGTACATGGTCCGACCAAAATGAGTCATACTTCACATATAGATCGGTTACCATCTTGGCTGCTGCAGCAGTAGCAATACAGTGATCAAGCCACCGACATGTGCCGTGTGCCTCACTCACAAATGTGTATGTGTTATAATCTAGTCTCTCTAAATCTATGCATGTTAGTGACTGCTCATCACAATAGTCCACCAGCTCCTTACCAAAAAGAGTACCCGGATGCGCGTTAAAATCACCTAAGATCAAAACGCATTCAACCTCAGCACTCTCAATCACTGCACTTATATTAGCTAGACACTGAATAAACTCTGATAGGTTATCCTCACAATCAGTAGGCATATATACGCTAAATACAAAAAGGCTACGATCACCTTGATCTAATCGCATTGCCACTATCCGGTCATTATCACACTGCACGATTTCCGTTTTGGTAAATAGACTCGTATGCCATAGCAGCGCTGTCCCACCGTAGGGTCTCCCTCGCAGCACACCTACTGACGTATCCACAGAGGATTTAGCATAGTAACTAAATTCCTGGTTAATTTGATTCAAGAAATCCAAGTCATGGGGCATCAGCCATGTCTCTTGAAGAGCAATGACATCTGATATCTCACACAAATCACGAACGTGCTGTACAGACCTCTTAATTGATTTACAGTTAAACGAAACTAATCTTAAATTATTTTTATTTTTTGTATCCATAGTTATTTATTAGACACCACTGTATCGCCCTTAATAGAACGCTGGTTACGGTATCTTCGAAAGACTAAACCCTCTGGCCAAAAACTTTTTTGTAAGAAATTGTTAATTTTTGGATGCTAGGACAGTTATCTTGAAAGAATTAAAATGAGTTTCACGTGTCTGTTTCATCATTTCTATGTCAATACATTCTTCTTTCATTTCTTTTATATGGTCTCTAATATCATTTTCATTTATGTGTTTTTTCGTACGTGAGAGCTAGACATACGCAAATGATTCCGCAGCCTGTAATTTATTCGCGTTTTGTAAAGTACCTCGCTTGTTTCTATACCTGTATACATGTCTCTTTTTAGTAACAATCGTAAAACCTTCGTCATCTTTTCGTTTACTTAATTCCGTGCGAATCGTGTTTGCTATATCTCTATAGGTAGGTACATAATGCGTGTCAGTATCACTAATAGGATTATTCTGTTTCTGCAATAACGTTACCGGCAACGGCGTATGCGCAAAAGAGAGAGAGAGCTCTTGCACGTACTTTCTCCCTCACTTGGTTTGTTTATGTTCGTTCGGGGCGTGTCGATATCAAGCTCAACGATACCCCCATTTAAATTGTTAGTATTCTCGTGACTATTATTTAACTTGTTTCTAGTGTTCTTATCATTATGATAAGACCCACGAAACAGATCGTCTTGTCGTTTACTGCTGCCATGGCGGACTTCGCGAAATTCCAACATAATTTTTTTGACATCATCAATCTCCTTCTGTATTAAATCAATATCCTTCGATAATTTTACTTCATTACTTATCACAGGTTGTTTAGTCTTCAAACAGGCTACGTCTCTCTTAAGTAAAGTCATTTCTTTAAGAAAAGTTGTCACATCGACGTGATCAAATGATACAGCCGGAAGCTTGTTTAAGGCCGAATACGAAGAGAACTGGCGAAATTTAATGTATTTCTCTTCACTACAACTTTGACCTGAAGTAATTCTAAGCGTTAAAACATTTTTTGTAGGTTTGTTCGGTTCCTTCACAAGGTGACCGCAGTTTTAAAATTTTAAAATAAATGAATATACCAACTACAATAAAATGTTAAGAAATGATATTTAAATATGATTGTTCTTCCAAAACTCTGTGAATTTTAATTTAGGAAAAATTCTTTTACGTAAAAATGTTTGTATTGTGATTCCGAAGGTGCCTGCTGTCTTTATTTTCGATACAAAATATTATTTATTAACATAATTCGTTTTAATTAAAAACACCTAATAATAATATCGTATATTGCCAGATAAAAGTTTGCCGTAATAAATTACCAGGCGCTTCGACGTGTGACGTAAGGTAACAACAGTCGATTAGTCTGTAGCGAAAATCGTTAATTTAGTGTTTTATACGCGTTTAAGTGACTATAAATGTAAATATGGGTAGGAAAAGAAATAAATGTTACCTAAGTGGTAAAACAAAGAGAGTTTATCGCATGAACGCTGCTCGAATGTTGTATTTTGAGGTTAATACTTATATTTTTGTAAGGTAACTTTTTGTTTGAGGCTGCCTAATAGGTTGGATTTTTACTCATTTACATTAGCCAAACTGATCATTTATACTTTTCTAGTTTCAAGTGAGAAACACTAAAAATGTAAATATCAAGACCCAGTCGGAAAAGAATGTACAGAGTAGTGTAAGCACAGAGACCGCAAATAATGTGATAGTCTATGTATTGTCCGAAAGCATGGGGTAAGTACATAATAAAGAAAAACCGAAATACTTCGGATGTGAAGTGATTGACCAGTCGGACTAGTCTTGTGAGAATTTACATACACCCACTATGGGGCAATCACCGACTTTTTAGTTTTTTTTTCTTTATTATTTATGAAATTTGCATTACGGCATCTTGTAAGACTCACAAGAACAAACATTTTCAGTTATATGAGGTTCTTTACGTACTATGAACCAATTAAGAAAAAAAACCGTTATCAATTCAATAACTTTTCGAACAATATTTTATAACGAATAAAGTACAGAATTTATAATCTATAGGAACTAATAAATAAGAAAGATTTATTTAAGAAGTAAGCAATTGCTCTCTGTGTTGTTCATTACTCTGCATACTGAGCTAGCTCAGTCAAATATAATATAATCAAAGCTCGTACGGCTTTGATTATATTATACATGTCTGTTTCTTTGTCTGTTTGATTATATCATAAACAAAGCGTACGGGCGGCGCGTGGTTTGCTGCGAAACGAGCAAGGCCATTCGCATCGTATTCGGCCTTAAGTTTTTTGCTGCGAAGATTGGCAGGCAGTCAGGGTCAAACTCAAAGTTTTATGATATCTTGAATGCGTTTTTGCTCAGCCCCCTCCTTTCTTCTCATGTACTTCTTCGTAGGCGCCAGTAGCTTATAGGCAACTGATCTTGCGTTCTCAATTTCATCGGCAGAGTAGGCACTCATACAAATTTGTATAATTTCTGTTTCCGGCAGTGTGTCGACCTTGTTACTAACAAAGGCCAACAATTCATTGATTACCACTTTGCACTTATTACATCTCAATTCACTACATATTTCGTTACTTCGACTTGTAACTTCGTCAGAGTTAGGAGATCGTACGAGCGGCATGGCATATTGACACATACGGCACGCGCCAATGCCAGCGGAAGACTAATACATGGATACATGGCTATGATACGTGGAGTTTTGTTCACTTTCGTCTTAGTAGCGTACTACTTAATACGATAAGTTAGTGTTGTTTTTAGTTAACAATAATACCAATTTTGTTACCAAAGTCGATAGAGATCATGTGGGTGTGCTGTGACGGGGCTGTTCATGTGACAATTGCATTGATGGTTACTGCTACTTGCGGTATTGCGTCTTCTTATGGATCTGCGGGTGTGGGGCACCTGATTCGACGTATCTTGTGGTTCTGGTCGATGGAGGTATGCGGGTGGTGATGTCTGCTGGGATTGTATGGGGGACTTTGGGATAGTGTAATGCCGACGATAGTCGTATTGATGCTTGTTGCATTCTTCAGCATTGCGTCTCTGCGTAGGTTGTTTGGCGGATTGCTATTCTTAATGACACTCTCTGCGTCTTGGTTTGACTCACACCTAAGTAGCACTGTCCAAGTCGGGTGCCTTCATTGCGGGACTGTTTGACCTCCATGATGTTTTATGTAACATCATATCTCTAATAATATATCTCTCTGTAACTTACCACCTTTGAATGATTAAAGGCAAATTGTTGGTGGGTGACACAAACCCTTTCTGATGGCAAATTATTACTATTATCGTATAACGCCTTTTGGCTATATCTGCCGTTGTATTGGTTGGTGGAGTATATGTGTCGATCTCATGCAGGTGGTAGCTGGAGGGAGGATCTGGGGAGACTATCAAGGCTGCGGCCGAAAGCCGCACAACGTGAACCCTCATTCCTTTGTGGAGAGCGATACGAGGGCGGCACTGAAAATTTCGGGAATCAAGAAAGTGACACAACATTATTATTTAAAAATGTATTTATTGCTTTTCGAAGTATTCTCCGCGAAATTTGACACATTTTTCCATACGATGGAACCAATCATTGAAGCAACCATTCCATTCGGAAGTTGGGGTCTCCAAAATGGCCGTTTTGAAGGCGTCCACAGCTTCTTCAGGTGATGAAAATCTCCGTCCACGCAATTTATTCTTTATTTTAGGGAAAGTATAGAAATCATTAGGGATTAGGTCGAGGCTGTACGGCGGATGGTCTAATAATTCTATGTTTTCTTGCTCTAAAAACTTTTGTTCTGTGTGCGGTGTGAGAACTCGCATTGTCGTGATGGAGGATGATGCGGCGGTTGCAGTTCTCTTTACGGAGTTCAGAAACAACCTGTGGCAAACAAATGCTAGCATACCATTCTGCATTAACCGTTCTTTGTCCCACAAGAGGAATAGTCGTAAAATGGCCGGTTTTGGAGACAAACGTGGCCACCCTTTTTTTTGCAACACTCCGTGAACGAACAATTTTTTTTGACTCATTTTCGAACACCCAAACTCGTGACTGGTTTTTTGTTTCGGGTTCGTATGCGTATATCCAGGATTCGTCACCCGATACGATTTCGTATACAGTATTTGATGATCCTGCGTGGAATCTTTCGAGAGTTCTGACGCACCAAGTAACGCGAGCCGCTTTTTTCTCTTCACAGAGCGGATGCGGTATCCATCGGGAAAACAACTTTTTTACACATAATTGTTCGTGCAAGATTATTTGTATTTGACTCATGCCAATTTCTAAAGTTGCCTGAATTTCGCGGTAAGTCACATGTCGATCTTCCTCAATCAGCTTACGTACAGCATCAACGTTTTCTTGGGTGACTGCAGTTTTTGGACGACCTTGACGGGGATCATCACTGAGCTTGACACGTCCACGTTGAAATTTAGCAAACCAGCGATAAATATTTATTTTGGATGGGGCTTCGTCACCAAATGCAGAAATCATCCGGTTGACACACTGTTTTTGTGTTAAACCACTTAGAAAGTCATAATAAATCATCGCTCTTGAATTTTCTCGAGTCAATTCCATTTTCTCAACGACTAAACAAGTTTGACAAAACCTTGTGACAAGACCTAGATTCTTTTTTTTAAATAAATAAATGGTATTCGATTTTTAAAACCAAGGAGTTTTTAATTAAAAAGATTTTAATATGACAGGAACAGTGGAAATATTCCATTCCCGATACTTTTAATGCAGCCTAGGTAGACTCATGATAAGCTCTGCGGCTAGTAGCCGTGCTGATCTTGCAATCAGTGGTGATGCTATACACTTACATCACGTCTGCAGGAACGGCGGTCTGGCAGGTGGTGGCGCTCACATAGGGTTTATGGCCAGTGTGCTACTTTCCTAAACCATGTGACGTACATTCACTGTGGCTGAATTTGATCGTATTCTGTATGTCATTTACACGCATTGGCATGCGTGACTTCGGTCGATGTTTGTGCTTACGCACTACCAAAGGCCCAAGCCCTTTTTTACTAGTTCGCCTACGGTTCGACTACGGTCCAGTTCCCAATTTAACGTTCCCTTCGGGGGGATCGCGTTATTTGGTTAGCGCTCACTGCACACGGTGTGTGAGGAGCCCTGTGCCTCCCGCACATTTTATTTAAAATGTAGAGGAGCGAAACCCTTTTATCAGATATTTTTACATATATATATATACGTATTGTGAGCCTTTCCCAAGCTGGAAGGGATAATTAATAATAAATTAATAATGTAAAACTCATACAAGTTTGTCTTCGTGAATGGTGTTCACTTAGCCTATAAGGCACTACCAACGACTTTCTACTGTTCTAGTGAATATTCATTCTACCAAAAGACGCCTCAAAAACTAAGTTACTAAACAAACACAATGTAAATAAAGGGTCTTAACTAAGGCCATTACGCCATAAATATTACAAACGGCTTGTTATGAAACCTTTAGAAAGATCAAAACATATTTATTTAGCCTGGTCACATATATAGATATAATTTTATATAAAAGGGGTAACATCATTATAATTTATAATATAATAAGAGGGAGAGTTGCGTGCGTTACAATACGCACACTGATAGTCGTGGTATAAGATTAATAAATACTGAAAATAACAATGGAGACAGAATACCACCTAGAGGGACATCAGCATTTATGTCACATCGGCTTGATGCAGATTTATCAATGCGGATCAACTGCTGTTGGCTCCGAAGATAAGTTGAGAACCAATCCAATGCTTCGGAAGTAGGTATAGGAAAGGATAGAATGTAGGATCTCATGACTGATGATATTGAATTGATGATTGATGTTTTCGAAATGTCCACCAAAATCAGCAACCTTAAGAAGAGCGGACAGTGCTGTGACCG